TTGTTAAGTGCCATCGAGTTGGTTTTGACTCAAAAGGATAATGTATAGGGTTCCAAAGGAGTGGCTGGTGAGTTTGAACCGCTGGCCTTGTGCTTGCAGTCCAGCGCATTAACCCACAGTGCCACAGGGCCATGCACATTGAGGATTCTTATAGAAAAACCCTGTAAAAACATAAACACCAAATGGCTATATTCTGAGCAAAAGTGAAAAAGAAATCGACCCAATACACACAGAAGTGAACAGAGATGTAAATCACTTGGGGGTTTTGTCATGCAAACCCAATAAAATGGACTAGATCTGTGCAGTCCAATATGGTTGACACCAGAAAAATGAACACCTTTTTGGGCATCTGAAATGTGACTGGTCCAAACTGAGATGTACTGTAGAATATAAAATGCACACTGGATGTTGAAGACTCAGTATAAAAAATAAAATGTAAAATAGCCTACAATTCTTAAAATTTACATTACATGTTGGAATACTTTAGAAATACTGAACTAAATAAAACGTTATTAAAATGGAAAAAATTTTAAATCAGTTTGAAATCTGGCACTGGGGCAATGGAAACAAATGTCCTCTAAGAATGTAATAATGAGCCAGCTGTGTACAATCTACTTACAGACTACATTCACTCAAGTCATGCAAAAAACAGTGAAATATTTTTAAGTGGTCCCAGCCTGTTAATACCACCAAGTTATTGGTAGAAACAACGGCAAATTTTGAGTAGGAAAATGTAACTTCAATCTAGGTCTCAAAAGTTTCCCACCAAAATCCTCAAGGAACATGAGTTTACCAACAAAGAACAGTAAGAAATAAACAAGGTACCATGAATATGACCCAGCTTAAACAATTGACAGACGAATGTTGTAAAGTCTTTAGAAGTTTAGCTGATCAGAAACTTAACTGAAAAAAAATGTTCCAGAACTGGAGTCCTGCTATGGTGCTAAGCAATGGACTGCTAACTGTAAAGTCAGTGGTTCAAACCCACTAGCAGCTCCTTGGAAATTCTATACAGGGTCACTCTGAGTCAGAACCAGTTCGACAGCACTCAACACAACATGCTTCCAAAAAAAAATTTTAGAAAATTCTAGGTGTTATTTTTTAAAGGTCTGTAGGATTTTAAAAGTCATTAGAATTTTGAAAATTAAAAACATAGTAACTGAAACTCAAATTGGATGGGTTAGGCAACAGTTGATAGACTGAACAACCATAGAACTTAAAGAAAAGTTACCTAGATTTCAGCTCAGAGATGCAAAATAAGAAATTAAGATAAAAAGCCTGGAGAACACAGTGATCTAACATACAGTAGATTTTGTAAAACAAGAGAATGGTGAAGAACAAATATGAGAAAAAACAATGGCTAAAAATTTTCCTGAACTGCTGAATGAAACTCCAGATCTAGTTTCTAGCCAAGCAGCTCAAATTTTAAAAAATGAACCAAGATATATTCATAAAAGAAGTATAGAACACCAAACATAAAAATATTTGAAAATATTAACAGATGACCTACAAAAGATTAACAGATAACCTACAAAAGAACACAAATTAGACTGTTCAATAGTAACATCAAACAAAATACAAAAAGGTGTGGTTCAGTGACTTTACATACTATTTCCCTTCTAGCCAAGGTCTCTGTTACTCCCACAAAATGTTAATAGGTTGTTGTTGTTAAGTGTCGTTGAGTCGGTTCTGACCCACAGCAACCCTGTATAGGGTTTCTGAGGAGTGACTGGTGAGCTTTACAGTTCAGCACATTAACCTATAGGGCCACAACCAGGACTCCTAATAGGGTGTATGACACTCTAAAGGGGGATTCGTTAGTTTTGTCATTCTGCAAGGTTTAAAAAAGAGCCCTCTCAGATGCAGAAGAGAAGAACCCAGGACCATCAAGAGAGGACAGCCATGAGAGGAACATGCGATCCATGAGCAGGCATGGGATCCTCTGCTAAAAAATGGCAGCAGCAGAGGCCACAAGAGGCGGAAGCACAGAGTGGCTGCTTTCTGTGCCCAAGGACGAGTGAGGCTGAGTTGAGTGCCTGTGGGCTGAGGCTGCTTGCATTTGGGCATTTATCCACAAGGCTAACGGAGCTTCTAATACATGCTTGAGCATAACAGAGACCAAGGAGCTATGTGGCTGAGAAACGTGTGCCTGCGAACTGCCTGTGGTATGACAGAGAAGATGCACTCCTGATTGGAGAACTGATGTGTAAATGGTTGGTGGTGCCCATAATGTGTCATGGAGTCAGTTCTGACTCACAGTGACCCTGTATAAGGTTTCTGAGGCTATAAATCTTTATTGGGAACACAAAGCCTCTTTCTCCCACATAGCGACTCGTAAGATTCAAACTGCTGACCTTGCGGTAATAAGTAGCCCAACTTTTAACCCAATGCTGCTGTTGTTGTTGTTAGGTGCCATCGAGTCGGTACCGGCCCATAGTGACCCTATGCACAGCAGAACAAAACACTGCCCGATCCTGGGCCAACCTCACTACAGTTGCCACGCATACCATCAAGTAAGTACTTCATAGCAACCCAATGCACAACAGAACAAAACACTGCCCGATCCTGGGCCAACCTCACAATTGTTGTTTCACACTTGAGCCCATTTACCCATTTACACCTGAGTCTTCCTCTCCTTCTCTGACCTTCCACCTTACCAAACATAATATCCTTCTCTAGTGACTGGTCCCTCCTGACAATATGTCCAAAGTATGAGTGACAAAGTTTGGCCATCCTGGCCTCCAAGGAGCACTTTGGCTGCACCTCTTCCAAAATGGATTTGTTGGTTCTTCTGCTACCCCATGGCACATTCAATATTCTTCTCCAACACCATAACTCAAAAGCATCAATTCTTCTACGGTCTTCCTTATTCACTGTTCAGCTTTCGCATGCATATGAGGTTACTGAAAATACCATGACTTGGGTCAGATGCACCTTAGTCCTCAAGCTGACATCTTGGCTCTTTAACACTTAAAAAAGGTCTTGTGCAGCAAGACCCACTACACTACTTTAAATAACAGGTGGGCCATGCAAACGTGGTATGTGGAACTCTAACGTAGAGATTGGACAGTTTTGCGATCTTGCTAGGTTTAAAATAAGCCACCTCAAAAGCAGGAATAGGGATATCACTACCATAAAGAAAGAAGAACCAGGAGTCGAGCGTGTCTTTTGGACCCCAAGATACCAGGGAAGCTCCTTGATCAAGGAGAAAGGGAGCTGTGACACCAGAAGAGCAGAAGAGTAGCAGCAGCAGAACCAAGAGCACGACACAGGGCAGTGGGCTTCCTGGACCCGAGAGAAAAAGCTGAGTGCTTTGGGGCAGGAGGCTTGCTTGCAGAATGGGTTGACCCCAGGCACTTAATTAAGGGAGCTAGGTTTGTCAACCCACCAAGCTAGAGCTGAGTGCCCTCAAGCTGACTCAAATGAAGGACTGGAGCATTTTTCAACAATGCTACAAGAGCTATGCAATACTGCCCAAGCAGAGCAGAGGCCAAAGAAAAGAGAGAGGTGTGCCTATCTGCGCAATAGAGAAGGGGCACTCCTGACCAAAGCGCTGTATTCTGAGCATTTCTGATCCTGAATTGTAGGCTGTTAACTCTCCTAACAAATCCCATAGTTGTGATTACTGTCTGAGTTCTGTGTGGCTACTACAATGAACTACCAAGCCCAGAAGAGAAGTAATGAGTGTTATGTGAGGGATGGTTATTGTCAGAACTGGTAAAGAAGGTTGGAGGGTGGACGCAGTCTGATTTCCACCTCATAGGTATTGGCCTTAAGGAGCTCTGGTAGCGTAGAGGTTACGAATCGGGCTGCAAACCTTAAGGTCAGCGGTTCGAAACTACCAGCCGCTCCACGGGAGAAAGATGAGGCTTTCTACTCCCGTAAAGATTTAC